ATTATTATCATCATTATTAATGATGCAGAATTGTCCATTGAATCCAAACTGCCTCTCATCGTTGCATGTTGTGTCCATTTTAAATATTTGTCCGTTCACATTCAAAGTTGCATTACCAGCTGACAACCATTCCTCCATTAGCTGTAGGTATGTACTGATACTGGTGGAGTATAGGTTAGCGGAGAATAGGACCACACCCTCTTCCCTGGTACATGCAAACCTTCCGTTGTTAATGTATTCTGATGAAAACTGGCAGTCATAGCAACGCTCCTGTATCGCTATGGTGATAGTGTCAATGATATCTTGTATTTTAATGAATTTGTTACTTTCCTGTTATTAATAATTATTCTTAATAATTAATTAACATTAACTTACACTCCAACTGTCACATGTATCTGTGTTTAATAAATTAATTATTAATTGTATCCTTTCAAAACTTGTAACTACATAAAGAAATAACTATCAATAACTATTAATAACTACTATGTATATTAATGAATAGTATTGCTAGTACCATTAATGATGACAGGGCTACTATTGGGTCCAGTTCCAATGGAGTTGTTAGCAGTTATTGTTAGACAGTACATCAGTGAAGGAACCATCACACCACCTCTTGTTGGTATGGTGTGATTAATATTATTATTAGTGTTATTATTATTAGCTGGTGCTGAGTCTGTTGCTACTGGTTCAATGTTGCAGGTACCATTAACATATGATGATATATTTATATTATAATTGTTAATGATACCACGAGCCTCAGTCAATGCTAATGGACTCCAAACCAGCTGGACAGTGTAATCATTGACCCGGTCAACACTCTGTATGGTAACAGCACCAACTGGAGCTATAAGTGAAAAGAAAGTTAGTGTTTTACAAGCTCCTTCCCTTACAAATTAGGTTTACCTAGTTCAGCAGTGAAGAAATGATTGGAAGTCAGTGGCAGTCCTGGACCAAAAATATTACTAACAACAATCTGATATGAGTACAGGACACCAGGACCTTATGAACAACGATAATAAATAATAATAATAATAACTAGACGAATGTAAAACATTAAGGGGCTCAGCCCCCTAGCCACGCTATATTTTAAAGGTTATATGGTATAGAGCTACATTATTGTACATGTACATGAGTAAATACAGTAGTTTGTAATGAAGTTATCATGCTTGGAAATACAAATTTTCTTTATCAGTTTATCACATTCTGCAGCAAAAAAGTTGTGTTGGAAGCCAGAGACAGTAACTGCAGTCATAGGTTATGTCAGTAGTTGTGGAGGCTTTACAAGCTCACAACTGTGGCATATCTGCCTTCTTAATCTTCCTTGCTGTATTTGGAAAGTAGTAGAGACTTCTCTTTCATTCTTGCTGACTCAAGTGAGTGACTTGTAACTTGTAAGGTCAAGAACATGAACTGAGAACAATGAAGAATTGATAGCTGGCGCCATTTTATTTCACTGTGACCACACCCGTTTTCAAAGAAGATTAAGATTAGGTTATTAGAATAGGAAAATTTTTCATACGGATAAATAGGGGTGACGTACGTGTACAAACAAACAAACAAACATACTCTACTCGAACTAGTGGGCTTCGCCCAATCAATAATATCTTACTTAGATTGCTAATGATAGCATTGTATTCACTTCCAATGACACTGACTGTCATACTCCCTATTGTAATGTTGTACTGAACTGGTACACTCT